ATGCATAAAACAACTAAATTTTTACACTAACTTAAACTTTGTAAATTGATATGCAATTATTTCAAAATATATTGTAAATATTTTATAGGTTAACAGAAATGTTTACCTGTTTTGATAAACACGATTGATTTGTTTCCTTTTTCAGTTGTGCTGAAAAAACAAAAGACGACTGTGGTTTATTTATTGACAAAAACACAGTTCGTCATGCTAACATTTTTGAAATCGAGATTATTAGCATTGGTAGAGACGGAGGTATAGGTAACAGTTTACATGCTATTATGTTCGATCAAATTTAACTTGAGTCAAGTGTTTAGCCATAATTAGTTTTGTACCATAATACTGATTAAGGAAGTAAGGAGGAGTCGTCAAATTCTTATTATCTTTAGATAGGCTTTTGAGCATAACATGTTTATGATAAAATCCAGTGATATCTTATCGCCAAGATACACACAAAAATGAATGTTATTTTAAAATATGTTACTATGATAGTAAATATATGAAGGGAGGATTAAGTTAAATATTAATTTTCATCTGTAAATACTTTCTGAAAATTAATTGATAATCTGCCATAAATACATAACAAGCAAAACTTGAGGAATATAAGTTTGTTTTATTTTTTATTAATAATATTTTGTTTTCTTATTACCAAAGTATCGATTTGATTAGTTTACAAGGAACACCGTGGTTCTTTTTTATAACATATTCAATTAGTCATTGATTACGTTAAATAAATGTGTCTTACTGTAAATGTAAACCACTTAAGGTGTTCTTAATTAATTCATTTTTTTTTTTATTAATTATTTATTTATAAATTCATTTATTTATCTATTTGCATTTTTATTTATTTATTTATATATTCATTTATTTATTGTTTTTCTCATTTAAAGTTTAATACTTATAGAATGGGATGACTCTCTATTGACTTTTACAATAAAATAACACAAACAATATAATTTCATTCTAGCTATCGGTTTGGTACCGGATAACTATCCAAAAAATCTTCTACCTGGATTAGGAAATTATTCATGTGGATACTTTTCAGACGGCAAGTATGTGTTTATTGCTTTATTATTAAAACATACCCTTACCTTCGCGTTTAAATATGCATGCGATTAAACGGAACAGAAAATTAAATAAAACATAACTAAGCAAAGTTCTTTCTAAACCCCAATGCTTCCAAATCACACACAGACTGAAATGCAATACATTGATAGGGTTTATGTGATTGCGCCAGAAATATAGATAACCTTTTGAATGCTGGAAATCATGTCTAAAAAGTCGTTTCTTGATATTCTAATTAGAGACGTTTGTTTTTAAAGTAAAACAAATAGAGTGGCTGGCAAAGAGTTTTCCCAATAAAAACATGTTCATGTGTTAAAAGTATAGTATGTAATATAGTATTTAAATGATTTATTTATAAATATATGACCGGAGATGCACCCAAGTACAATAGAACAATAGATACATATATTTTTCTTTCTTTTACTATTTTGTTTTATCTTGCCGACATATATTGAATTGAATAATATCGCTCGATCATATTGTTATTTTAGACATATACACTAAGAAATGAGTTATTAAAACTATAACTAAACATTCCAGTTACGTTTGGTAAAAGACCTGTAATCTCGATATATAGAATTATAAGAGCGATTCATATGTTTACGTCTATTATTCAATATAAATATGATCTTGATTATATATTTAGCTTAAAGATAATGAAGCGATTTTCACCTTTTTAAAAAGGACTTATTTTTGATACAAATATCTCAGTAAATTATGTTTAATAAACGAGTATTGAAAATATATAAATGAGACTGTGTTCATATCTTTTATATGATACATTCAACGGTTATATGCAATACATACTAACAAAGTTAATTCATTTCTGAATACAATCTGAAAAATATTAAACAGAACAGAACAGTTGAAAGTTCAGAATTGATAACAAAGTCATGTTGTTCTATCACCCCCACACAACAATATGTTGCGACGTTAGCGACGTCGTTCGCGCAATTAACTTCTTTATGGCGTCTTATCACATTCATAGCTTTTCAAAATATGTCCCGAATGCCAGAGCGCTTCCAGGCGACAGACTGGGCGCATGATTCGAGGTTATGCAGGTGAAGCCACGTCTCGTCCATCGTTATTTCATTTCGAAGAAAGTCGCCACCCTCCACTCTTATTCGCCAGATAAACTTATTGGACGCGTTTACCTATCTCATAGTCTTTAAGAAGATGGGGGACCAATCAAGCATGCACCTATCATAACGACAAAATACGTAAATACATTATATTAAGACAGATATGTGATACTTTTTTCATTTTTTTAATACCCTAATGCAGTTCTTATTTACTGATAAAAATTGAAGCAGGAATTATAAATGTTTTAAATCTAAATTAACGTATTCTTTTTGTCATTATACTTTTGTTTTGATCCAAAACACAGATATTGAGTGCCCAAGCTGATCTGTGTAAGAAATTAATATATAATGTTTTTGGACCGAAAAAGAGTCCTTTAAAATGATCAAAGACATAAATTGCATACACGTCAAAATCACTACCCATAAAGGATGGTAAGAATGTTCACGTTTTAGGTAAAATACATCAGACGTTTGTATTTTGTATGCTTGTTGCATATTCACTTAGTGTCATGTTTATGTCTTTATTTTGTTCATTATAATTTTAGGGTCACAACATGCCTATCTTGTCAAACTTATGTTATTATGAAAAACATGTAATTATTTTACGGCGTATGTAATGATATAAACAAACACAACACCTGAAACGAATAGAATATTTATCTTCGAACAAATGTGTGTTTAATTGAAAATTTTCATAACTGTTGAGCATCAACTCAAATACATAAAACTGTTACTTGGAAATAATGTACAATCAATATTTACGTATTAACATAATCTGATTGTAGTTTGTCACAATTTATTCATTATGAATAAAGTTAATTGTTTCATTTACTAGAAAATCCTCGTAATTTTGTTGGTTCTTTTTTTGTTTCTTGGCACACGCAGTAATGAGCTAAATTGACAGGTAATGTTACAGTGAACTAACTACACATAACAATGTTTTTTTAATTCAGTATCAATTTAAAATATTATGGACAAAAACTGTGTACTTTCCTACTATAAAGGCAGTGCATTAAGGGTTAAGAGTCTTATATTTGACATAGCTGCATTCTCATTTCTATGAAATTGATTAAGAGGACTATGCATACAATATTCGTTTGTTTAAGCATGTCATCTATAATATATTTTAAGTGTGTTTGGAAGTAAATTCGGTAATAAATCTGGAGAAGCATGGAAAGTCGGCGATCGAATAACAGTTCAAATGTAAGTATTTAGTATTTTTAGCGTTGTTCGTTTCTACTGATTTGATTTATAAAGATTTAAACAAAATATTTATTTGTAATTTTAGCATAAAGAATTGTCGTCAGACGTGTAAAGTGAAACTTAGAAATTGTCAATACGGTATGATATGCTACTTCTAATTAACAGAACAGTTGACATAATTTATCCAGACTTTATGTTTGTTTATACTCTTGTCAAATACGGATAAAACATCAAACAACAGTCCAATGGTTAATTCAAAGATATATTTTACAGTTTATAAATATAACACTTCTTTTAAAAATGTATCTCCTTTATCTTCTTAAGATTGTGTTCAATTACATATGCATCATATATACATGTTATGATGCGCCAAATTAATTACTATTGCTTTTTACCACATTGACGGTATCAAATTGAATTTCAATACGTTGTTTAAACAGTATATTTCCCTAATGTCATGATCGATGTGTTTGAATTAAACCATAAATGTAATTCGATAATTATTCTTATCATTTTTTTATTTATTTATTTTTAGTGAGGATGTGTAAGTATAATTTTAACATTTGTTTTACTTAAATTAACAAATAAAAAAGATGACCCTTAAATGGTTTAATGTTTAATAACATATTTATTTATATCATTTACTACATATCATATCATACTTATAAATATACTATTGTCAATCAGCTCATACTAATAAATCAATTTTCATCAATCATATAATACTTACAGATCAACTATTATCAATCAATTCATATAAACATTCATCATGTCATAACTAATTAAATAATGTAACTTAATACCAATTTTATCAAATGTCATCAATCATCTCATATTAATATATTATCTATCGTTAATCATATATAACTAAGACATCGACTATCATCACTCTTTTATTACTTATGATTTAATAATATTTAACATATCAACTGTTTATCAATGATAAAAAAAATAATTAAATAAGCTTTGAGATTTCATCTTTTACTAAAAGTTAATTATCATATATTTTCTAATATCATCTAGTATCAATCAGTCAATAATAATAATAATAATAATAATAATAATAATAATAATAAATAATAATAATAATAATAATAATAATAATAATAATGATAATGATAATAATAATAATAATAATAATAACAAGAATAATAATTAAACACTTTCAGAAATCATATACTAATATACCTGCTTTAACCAATCATAAACTTGCAATAATCACTTGATACTAAGTTAAACATAGTTACAATCATCTAATACTAAAATATTAACTAACATCTTCAATCTGATACATGCATGTCAATTATTATCTGCCATCTAACACTCAAAACAACTATTAGCATTTATATGTGTCATATAATTTATTATAAATCATCCACCACTAGTATATCAACAATCATCAATCTTCGTATACTAATAAATAACTATGACCTATCATACGACACTAAAATAGCTTCTCTCATTAACAATTATCAGTCATCTTATATTATCTCTCAGCAATCGTCTTGTAGTAACAAATCAACTGTCACCAGCATCTTATGCTAATGTACCATATTCTATCACCAATTATTGAACTCTACTGTAACAGACAACCCAAAAATACGTTCCCCTATTAATCGCATTTTCATTTTAGATAAAATGGTATTTTTGTTTGCCTCCAAAAATTAGTACGTTAATATTATTCTTTTTTCAATATTTGAATAATGGAAATAAGAGTATTGTTACCGTTTGTCTTTCATATTTTGTACTTTGTCGCTAATTCATTATACAATGACTGTGTCATCATTGCCGTTTAGATATCCCTAAATATTTCAGACATGGTAATTGCTGTGCAAAAAGTATTAAATGCTTCCTCTGTCCATCTGACTCCTTTCATCATTACGTTTGCATGCAGGGCTAACAAAGATAGTTCTTTATGTAAGCACATGAAATTAACGCTATAAAATTTAATAGTCAGTCAGTAATTTTTCTAATGTTTTATGAGATCTAATAGCTGACATTTTGAAAGTTATTGGACGACAGCATTTATTTGAAATTTTCTGCCACGGATAGGGTACTTTTATATGTACAATTCTATGACAAAAGAACACTTCTGATTCGGTCAATTCGCTTTTCATTATTATTTTTTTCTCTTTAAAGGTAACTGCTTTTTCACGTGTGAGTGCGATGCCAGTTGACATTATGACAATTCAGCTTCATTTTTTTTCCAAGCAATAATAGTTAATATGAAATTGTTTTGCAAAATGCGAAAAAAAAACAGTGTTGGTCTCGTTAAAGCAATAACGTGATAGCATGTTAACATGAGTGTGTTATACTCCGATCTAATAAAAGATTCTGAAACAAAAGGAAAGTTTTTTCTTTAGACACGCTTCACTAAATAAATTCTTTTTAATTTTACTCTTTTTTATCTGCAATCAATTTTAACAATTTGCCATTATTATTTCCACATATTAAGATGCATAGCCAGAGTGTTTCACCTTCCTGCTTAAAATATTTGTTTCTGCTTTGAACAATTTCAGCAAAAAACGAAACACTGATAACAATTCAAGCCTAGAGCAATATTTTGTCATTTCATTTGTTTATATTATGCATGACGTCATTTGGTAGTACGCATTATTTTTAATACCGTGCACTAACCGTGTAATACCTTGTTATAAACGTAGATGAAGGTTGTCATTTTAGATTACAAACAACACCAACACTATGATAGATATTATAAGCAAGATTTCGTCCTGCTGTTAGCAGATTGTGATAATTTTACATAACCTATGAAACTCATAAATTGATATGATATGTTAGAGCTATAATAAAAATCACATGATAGCTATCCATCTTAAATTCACTTGTAATTATAATCTATCTTATAATTCACGTCGCTATTACCTATCATCTAGTACTAGATTATGATCAAACACTTAATAATCCCCCCCCCCCTGTTGCAATTTCCTTATGTTTTATGCTTACCTGTCCATGTTTTTATACTAACCTTTTAAGCTAATAAATGTATCGTTACTAATACATCATTATTCTTCTATAAGACATTACCCCTTTTACCAAGTTTCAAGTCCGATGGTTTCTGCAGTTATTTATATTTATATATTTAAACAATCGGGGCCATCACTCTAGCTACCTATTAAAATAAAACCTAAAATATTAGGCGTGGTCACATGATACTATGCGGTAATGCATTTCTTGGACCCTTTATATCTATATTTGCTTTAGTTGTACGACCTCTCTCACGCTAACAAGCACTGACTTATGTTGTCACAGCTTACATAAACTATTTGTTACGAAGAATCTCAAAAGTATGTAGTGCTGCTAACAATGTGTAGCGACGAAGTAGTTTATCAAGATGATGGGTGTAACCAAGCTCACAGTAAATGCATTTAATTGAAGGAACAAAATGTCAATAGTAGCGTGCTGAAGAATACCTTTTCATATTTCCCGAATATGATATGTTGATAACTGAAAGTCTGAATGTCTTAAAGCAAAATAAACAGTAGGTAAAATAGTTCAGAATTATTTAATATGAAGGCATGTATTCTACACTGTTCTGCTTTAAACATGCTTTACAAAGTTAAGCCGTCATATTGAGTAAAATAGCCTTGAGTAGAATTCTGTCGATGCAAGTCACAAGCATCTTGTCTAACAGTATTGATCGTATGTATATTATATTGCATGTCTGTTGTTTATTATACGTAAAGATCTTCTTAAGATTGTGTTCAATTACATATGCAATATCTATTCATGTTATGATGCGCCAAATTAATTACTATTGCTTTCTACCACATTGACGATATCAAATTGAAACTTAATACGTTGTTTAATCTGTATATTTCCCTAGTGTCATGATCCATGTGTTTGAATTAAACCATAAATGTAATTTGATAATTATTCTTATCATCTTTTTATTTTGTTAATTTTCAGTGAGAGTATGTAAGTATAATTTTGATATTTGTTTTACTTCAATTAACAAGTCAAAAAGATGACTCTTAAATGGTTTTATGTATGATAATATATTCATTGATATAATTTACTAGACAAATGGTCAAGATATTTTTATCGTAATGTAGTTTGTTAAACATTATGTATACTACATGACTGATACATTTTAAAAATGCCCAAATTTGATTTCTTTTAAATACAAATATAATTACCGACTTATAGCATTAATTTAGGTTATATTCAGATAGAATGTATATTAGTCTTCATGTCGTTATATTGGAATACGAAGGATTCGATGAAGAAAAAAACACTCAACATATGAGTTAATATTTACAATCAATAGCAGATATGGATTGTGATATGAGTGTTTTGGAATAAATCGTAACGACGTCACAGTCTAATACGACACTGTACGTTATGTTTAACATCAAATTGATATGTTGGCACATTTACAAGTTGCATTTGTCTAACACAAAGTTTCGTTTTAGCAATAGTATCAACACTTGAATAAAAGCATATAGATAAAACAATTATCATATTTTTATCTTTATTTTAATTATAAATCGTATCAAATCTAACGCCAATTCATCTTGAATTGTGGTACTATTAAATGTTATCTTCATCTATGAAATAACTAACAATTTGCAAACAAAAGGCTAGTGAAATAGGTGATAACTCTTTCTAAGTTGATTTATGCACATTATCATATTGTAACGACCAAGAACCTAGCTCATTAATAATTTCGGATAAGATGTTTTATCCGACTACTACAACACTACAAACATCCGAGATCTTCCCCAGTCTCCGAATAAATGACAACCAAGATTCCCTCCGTGAATCAATACCATTTACATATGTAAATATATCCAATGCGCTATAATAGTCCATTTTCATTTTATATATCCATAAAATACGTAATAAACACGTTTAATTATCAATTAGTTTCCCGGCTGCAGCCATTCCGAATTTAACGGACTTTACCGTTCGCGCATGTTCAAGTTCAGCCGTTCCGAATGTAACGGACTTTATCGTTCACGCTTGTCCGAAACACAGCC